CTCAAAGAAAATGGAAAAATGATGAAATGAGGGAGGGTGCAGATATTTCAGTGCTGAAATGGCATGAAAAATGATACTACAACATGTAAGCAACTCATGCGCAACATGTTCAAAAGCCAAAAATACCAAACTAGTGAAGATCACTTCACTATAGGCATGTAATACAAAGCTCAAAAGGGACAAACAGTCCAAAATAGTCCTAAAACAGCCTAAGAGGAGTCCTAAAACATGCTTGAAATAAGCTAAAAATAGCTAGCATGAGAGGCCAAAACATGGCACAAGCTAAGCCATTAAGCACAATTGCACTACAAGCATATGAAGCAAGCCTCAAGTGACTTAAACAACCCTAAATAGAGGTAAAACAAGTCAAAATAGAGCCTATAACATGCTTGAATTAAGCTAAGTTAAGCTAGGAAATCAAGCTAACATGTGAAGCAACTTAGGCATGGAAGCAAGACACAAGGAGGGGAGGCTACCCCCTCCTATTTTTGACCTCAAAACAAAGTTTTTACCACTGAAAAACCTCTAAATTTTAGTGGTTAAAAGGCCAAAAGAGTTGGTTTGAAAGTGATGAAAAGATGGCACAAAAGCTTAACAAGCAAAGAGACAAGAAAGGTGGACCATCCCCAAACTCAAAATAGCCTCAAACCACTATTTTTAAGCCTCAAAAACAAAGGTTTTTGTATTTGAAAACCAGGCCAAAAATAGTACAAAAAGATGGCAAAACAAGTTTAAAGGGTGAAGGTTATACCTCTTGAAGCTAAGCACACTTTAGGCACAAATGAGGCACCAAATCAAGCTAAAATCACCTTTTAAAGCTCAAAGAAGGCCTCCTAGAACCTCAGCTCAAAGATAACCAACTTTGGTCAAGGATGTCTAGGCAAAGGAGAAGTGTATGCAAGCTTCTAAGTACAAAAGCTCAAGAGAGAGAGAAATGTAGAGAGATAGAGAATTGTAGAGAGACAGACTCCCAAAATATTTCACTCCTAAATTGTTCTAACCTTCAAAACAATAGAGAAGACTCTCTATGTATAGAAGAATGAGGCTTCAGGTCAAAAATATCCCAAAATGGACAGTTGGAACAGCTGGAACACAAATATCTGTAGAAATCTAACTTTTTGTATCAATGGTCGGTCGGCCATCATTGATGGCCGGCACATGGCCACAATCCCATCCATGGTCAACAACCTCCACCTCTGGTTGGCCAGAAAAATCTGCTTTTTGGGCCCAACTTCAAATGGACATATCTCTTTCATCTGGACTCCTTTGCAGGTCATTCTTGAGCCTAAATTGAAGCCCTGGAAGTCTTATTTCCAATTGTGGCATCCTCACAGAAAAATTCCAAGTGTGCAAGAAGATATGCCTCTTTTAGTGAAGACTACTCAGTTTCGATCCTACCCAAATTCATGCCCAACTTCTCCTCAACTAGCTTTCTTCTCTCCTCTCCCATTTTCTTCAACTCCAAACCCATAAATAAGGTGTTTTGAAGATTTTTTGAAAGAGATCACCTCTCTTCCATTTATTTCCACTTTGTCCTTGCTCGGTTTACCGAAAAGCACAATATTTAACGAAATGCGAGCCTCGGAACATCGTAGGAACTTTGTTTCAAAAATATTTTGAAAGAGAGGGTTTTAAGGTCTCAAAATCATTTTGGTCAAAATAGTTTTGGTCAAAAAATGGAGTGTAAGGTTGGGATTTGATGCTCTTCTTGCCAAACAAATTGAACCTTTGCACTACACAACTTTCATCACTAAGTAAACAGTCAGTGGCGCCCAAGTCGTAAAGGCGGTCAAAAATGGGGTGTTTGCACTAGTCCAACCCCTTATATGTGAATTTCTCAAGCATATTAGACTCTACCCCACCCAACTATCAACCAACACATATAGAATTATAAATGGCATCGCCGAGCTCAACCGTCGTCTCGACCTCAACCTTGGACTGGCCGAGATATTCCATCAATACTCGCTTAGTCAGAATGATGACGATTAGGTCTACTACCTCAAAGTAAAAGGAGGCTGAGAGAAAGTTGTTAAGCGCACACTGGACAAATACTTGCACGACAATGACTTTCTCTGGGTCTCAGGGAATTACAAGGACCAGGAGGCCAGAACACTGGGCTATAACATAAACTGGAATAAAGCTATAACTAGTATGAGCATCCCAGTTTTATTCTTCTTGACTTCTTAATCACTTACTATCATGCTAACCCTTTGTCTTTTTGCAGATCTGAATGTGCTCAAGGAGAACTACCCACACGCTAACCAAGACGGGCTATGCACCATACTAAGGTACCGGCATCAGGATTAGACTAAGCTACTGAGCTTTGAGCCAACCTATAGGTACAGTAGCAAGAGGAGGAGAAAAGTTACCAACTTCATTCTCAAACCTTCACCAGAACCAGACCCAAGCCTTCCTCAAATCAACATCGTCCCCCTCACTAAGGAGTAAGAAATGGCAAAGAGGAAAGCCATCTGAGCTCTTATCACCGACCAAACTTCTATTGAGGTCCAGACTGAACAAGTTCTAGCCGCTCAACCACTTGAAACTGTCGTTGCCCGTCTAACCACTAGGCCAACTACATCTCGGCTCAACAAGCGTGCTCGCACCTTGTCTGCCGAGCAACAACACCTGGTGGATGACAAAGAGACCGCACTCTCAGAGTCCGAGCTACCCGAATCACAGTCTACCTGCTCTAGCTAAGCTGAACCTTCTTTCCCGCTGGTGTGGGCACCATCCATGACCTTCAAAGGTCGGGCTGTGACCCCCACCCGACTCTATGTGTGATGAGAAGGACCATATTTTTGCCTTCAACCTGACCAAGAGTCTATCTCTGCCGGTAGACATAGAGCGGCATGATCATCTGACCGAGTTGAAAGCTATACGTTCAGCCACCAAGTCCCTGGTGCTAGTAAGTTTGGAACTACTTTTCTTTTGAACTTTTTACTCAGCCTTTCTAATTATTCTACTGGTCGATGGCAGGCCATGTAGAAGAACCATGTTGCTCACCAACGTGTACTTGAGCTAAGGAAAACTGCCAGGGCGGCCATCACGGACAACAAGGCCAAGAGGGCCGAGCTAAAGGAGATCAAGGCCAAATTGGCCGAGCTAGTTGCTGATCGGGACTAGCTGGCTAAGCAAGTTAAATTAGTCATGGCCAAAGACGACAAACAAAGGCCCTAGCCAAAAAGAAAAACCGTTACCTTTGTGAACTCACTAATCTCGGGAAAAAGAAAGACGCCGAAATAAAGGAACTGGAGAAAAAGATGGAGGACGCCAAGGACAGAGGTTACAAGGAAAGCGAAGAAACCTATGTCCAGCAATGTGAAGTGGCCAAGGATATCTTTTTCAACTGCGGTTAGCCTGCGAACTCTGAGATCTTCCTCAACCCTCTTTGCCATTTCATTCCAAGTTACATGGTGGCTTATGCCAATGCCGTGCAACAAAATCTCCGCGCTGTGGAAGAGGAGGGCCTGACATCGAGTTCTATAGATCCCCTAGCCATTACTAATCCCATTCCTCAACCCACCAAGCAAGTTCAGTTGGAAGTACCTAATTAGATCCAGCCGAACATCGATCTGACCACTGATGAAGGTGTTGGGGCCGAGTTGGCAACAATGGAGGTCGGTGCGGATGTTGATGCCAAGCTGGATGATCTGTTTGCTTGACCATGACGAAACTTTCTCTAACTTTCTGTTTGTTCTATTCTTTTTTCTTTGCTTTCTTTTGCAATGTAACCAGGCTACACGCTCCCTCCCCTTTTTGTAATCACATCTTTCATCAATGAAAAATCTCGAAGTTTTTGCATGGTCATTGTGTTTCTTCTAAAAATGATTTACACCACTCTGAATGTACATTCTGTTGGGCTAACTAGCTCGCCCACCTTGACCCTGCCAACCTCCTTTGGCCGAGATGAACTTCTCAGTCGGAGAGTGCAAAAAGTTGTGCTGGCCACACCTGTCAACCTCTTTGGCCAAGATGAACATCTCGGTCAAAGAGTGTAAAATGTAGTGTTGGTCAAACCTGCCAACCTTCTTTAGCCCAAATACTCATCTCGGCTAAAGAGTGCAAAAAGTTATGTTGGTCAAACCTGCTAACCATCTTTAGCCCAGATACTCATCTCAACTAAAGAGTGCAAAAAAATGTGTTGGTAAAACTTGCCAACCTTCTTAAGCCTAGAAACTCATTTCGGCTAAAGAGTGCAAAATGTGCGTTGGTCAAACCTGTCAACCTTCTTTAGCCTAGTTACTCATCTCGACTAAAGATTTCAAAAAGTTGTGTTGGTCAAACCTGCCAACCTTCTTTAGCCTAGATACTCATCTCGGCTAAAAAGTGCAAAAAGTTGTGTTGGTCAAACCTACCAACCTTCTTTAGCCTAGATACTTATCTCGGCTAAAGAGGGCACAAAATGTATTGGTCAAACCTTCCAGTTTTCTTTGCCTTCAGCAGTGCAAAGGTGTTTACAAATAGAATAAATACAGGTACTGAAAGAATTTTTACCAGGAAAAAAGCCTACTTGTTTTATTGAAAGTCAAAGGAAATTACAAGTGCAAAAAGATAAAAATAAAATATATTGAGATTGGCCATGTTCCATGGCCTTGGGATAGCTCGGTCGTCCATATCTTCGAGGTGGTAAGCTCATTGTCCTACTAATCCCATCACTTTGTACGGCCTTTCCTAGTTGGGTCCCAATTTGCCATCCCTAGGCCCAAAGTGTTTCCCATTACTTTGCGTAGCACACAGTCTTTAATCTTGAATTTCCTTGGATGCACCACCTTGTTATATTTTCTAGACAATTCATGTTGATACGAGGCGATGTGGACCAGTGCCCTTTCTCTTCTTTCTTCGGCAAAATCTGGCTCCAAGGTTATGACCTCTCCATTCAAATCCGGATCAAAATTTTCACTTCTAATAGTGGTGAGGCCGACTTCCAAGGGGATTACTGCTTCCATGCCATTGGCCAAGGAAAAAGGCATTTGGCTAGTCGACCTCCTAGGTGTAGTTCAGTAAGCCCATAAGTCATGGGGAAGTTCCTCAGCCCATTTTCCTTTTGCTTTTTCTAGCCTATTTTTTAGACCATCTAAGACTACTTTGTTGGAGGCTTCGGCCTGGCCATTAGCATGTGGGTATGCCGGCGTGGAATTATAGAATTCTATCTTGTGCTCTTCGCAAAAACCCCTAAAGATTCTTCCATCAAATTGGGTGTCGTTGTTAGATATCAAGGCCATTAGAATTCTAAACCGGGTTATGATGTTCTGCCAAAAAATCTTCTTAACGACTTTTTCTTTGATGGATGCAAGCGCCTCTGTCTCCACCCAGTTTGTGAAGTAGTTTGTCGCCGCAATAAAGAACTTTCTGTTGCCTAGCGTAGTTGGGAGTGGTCCCACTATGTCTAAGCCCTACATTGCAAAAGGCCAAGGGTTAGTCAAATATAGAAGCTCTCTAGCTGGTTGATGAATTTGATGCGCGAACTTCTGACATTTCTTGCATTTCTTGACATACTTCTCTGCGTCTACTTGCATGGATGGCCACCTGTAGACGCTCAACTTTCTTTGCGCGCCCCCCTATCAGAGAGGTGAGAATTGGTCTCCTACAGTTTGGACTCCTGTCACGGTTCTGAATCTAATCTCACAAAGTGTAATGTAAGACTGATAAATCACCAAAGAGTCCAATCCAGCAAATCATTTTGGAAAATCAGATTTTGAATCAAATAATGCCAAACTGGCCTGTTTTGCCAGATTATAGAGTCGCCACCTAAATATTTTATTTTGGAAAATTTAGGAAACCTTGACTTGTGCCAAAGGCCACGTGTCCGTCATCACCAAAGTTGCCTCGACTCGGGAACTTGGATACGAGAGGGGAAGGTCCTGAAATGAGCACCCCCGCTCGCCCGATCAAAGATCGGCCTCTACTATCATGATATGTTGTTTTATAAACACATGTGTTCTTATTCCAGTTATTTAGCTAACTTACTATGTGATACACACAACATACAAGTATAGACTAAATCGCGGGAATTAGAACAAAACAATTCATGTTTGTTTTCGAAAATGGTTTGAAAGTGCCACCCTCAAGTGGGCTTAAAACATGATGATTTGCCACTTCGCAAAGTGGGCTTAAAACTCACATTTGATAAATTGTTCCAATTTCAAGCAACAAAGCCTTCATCAATAGGCATTCATGCAGTTAAGCAAGTAAGCACATAACCTCATGGCAAGCATGCTAAACATGGCAACACTCACACTCATGCAAGTATGCTAAAGCGTAAAAACTTACAGTGTACTCCAAGCCAAAACAAACAACTAGTTACAAATATGCATGATCCTAACTATGTAAGATGCCTAATGCAACACACACAATAATGCAACTAAATAGGCTCGGCTATCTAATATGGCATATGAATGCAACACTTGATACATGTATTCAAAGAAGTATTGAAATACGATGCAGTTTGAATGATACGCCGAACCTCGGTGCATGCAAGACAAATGAATGATGCAAACATGTAAGCATAAAGTATGCTAATTGAAAATGTCTATAATCTAACCATCGAAAGCAGTTAAATAAAAGGGAGAAAGACGTGGGGTTGGAAGACATGCACACACACACACACACTTATTACAACGTTGCGCCCTCTTGAAGAAGGGTCTGAATAAATAAGCTAAGCTGCACTAAGCTAAGCTAATTATTACAAAACAAAACTAATTAACTATGCTAGCTAATTAATTATTACAACACAATTGAATAACTAGCTATGCTAAGCTAATTAAAATATTACAAGACAGATTAAGCTAATTAATTACAACACATATAGTAATCAGCTACAACTAGCTAAGAGAGCAATAAAGTGGCCTCGCGGGTGAGGGAGACATGCATGCTCGGTTGCTTCCTCTCGAAAATCCATCGTCTTGCCACCGGTTGCCTCTGTTTGCACTCACTGTGATCTCTGAACACTGTACAAACTTCCAGATTGCCTTTACTCCAACACATGAACACATTGGACAATCTTTGAACTGGTGGCCGGTCGGCTAATGCAAGTGGCCGGTCGACTGACCACCAACTTTCCAGGCTTCTGTTTTTGCTACAATAGAGAACAACAGAGGCAAAGCAATGTATTTTTCAAGGAATGCAATAAAGTGGCCTCGCGGGTGAGGGAGACATGCATGCTCGGTTGCTTCCTCTCGAAAATCCATCGTCTTGCCACCGGTTGCCTCTGTTTGCACTCACTGTGATCTCTGAACACTGTACAAACTTCCAGATTGCCTTTACTCCAACACATGAACACATTGGACAATCTTTGAACTGGTGGCCGGTCGGCTAATGCAAGTGGCCGGTCGGCTGACCACCAACTTTCCAGGCTTCTGTTTTTGCTACAATAGAGAACAACAGAGGCAAAACAATGTATTTTTCAAGGAATGTGTGTACTGCCACCCTCCTTATCATTTCTCAAGCTCAAAGGAGTATGGCACTTGGCTCTCAAGCCACCAATCAAGCATTTTCAATGTATGATAGCCAAAGAGCCAAGCTTGTACAATGTTAATGAATGCACAAACAAGACTCAAAGAGCCTCCACCCTATCATGCATGATCAAGGGTGTCGGCGACCAAGAAATGTGACACGTTTCATCACTATGAGTATGAAACGTCCCACATTTCTTGTGTTTGGATTAACGTCCGATCCAAACAAATGCAATGCAACACAAATGCTTATCTTGTACAAGTTTTACTTTGTTCAATTCTTGTTTACACATTTTAGCTTACCAATTAGTCCTTTAACCGCTTAAGTTCAATGTGAAAGTCCTCTATTTGGAAAGATGGCCTAAGCCATAAGTACCTTGAGCATGAAAGAGGTCTCATGCCGTTGGTTAGTAGAAACCCTCAAGAGAGGATTAAAACCATTAGGCATGAATGCCTCAATTTCATGCTCAAGCCAGCAAGGGGCTCAAGACTACTTTCAAAAGCAAATTCAAAAGTGAAGAACAAAGGGAGATTGCAGACTTTCAGTGCTGATATGGCATGCTAAAGACACTAAATCATGCAAGAAATTCATGCACAACATGTTCAAAAGCCAAAAGTGTTAAACTAATGAAGAGCATAACACTATGAGCATGCAATACAAAGCTCAAAAGGGACCAACAGTCCAAAACAGTCCTAAAACACCATAAATAGAGTTCTAAAACATGCTTGAAATAAGCTAAGAATAGCTATATTAAGAGGCCAAAACAACAACACATGCTAGGCAATTTAGCATAATTGCACTACAAGCATACAAAGCAAAACCCATGTGATCAAACCAGATCAAAATAGAGCTTAATCATGCCAAATCAGGAGCTAAAACATGCTGGAATTGAAGCATAGATGGTAAGAAAAACATGCTCATGTATTGGCTCACAAACAAGGAACAAAGCACAACTCTCAAAAGCAATGAAAGAGTGAACTAAGTGAGTGTGATAGAGGTCTATGCACTGAAATCACATGTAAAATGATGCTACATCATGCAATCATCTCATGCAAAGCATGTTAGAAGCCTTAAAACGCAAAAGCTAGTGAAGACACTAACACCATAGCTATGCAATACATGGCTCATATGACCAAGACCACTCAAAGCAGAGGTAAAGCATGTTAAAACATTAGCAAAAATGTGTTGGAGTCAAGCTAACACATGCTAGAATGATGGGCTAACTCATTAGGCATGCTAGGCTAGTAAGCAAAATTACACTACAAGTGCAAGATGCAAGCAACAAGTGACCCAACCAGCCAAAAACAAAGTTAAAACATGTTAAATTAGAGCCTAAAACATGCTTGAATTAAGCCAACACAAGTCACAAAAATATGCTACTTTGTAATGCTAACTAGGCATGGCATAGAGAGATAAGGAGAGGAGGCCATCCCCTCCTATTTTGGACCTCAAATCAAAATTTTTACCACTGAAATTCCCTGGGAATTCAGTGGTTTAGAGGCCAAAAAAAGAGTTGTTTGAAAAGCTTTAAAAGAAGGCTCCAAAGCTTCACAAGCCAAAGAGCAAAAGGAGGAAACCACCCCCTAACTAAACAAGACTCAAACCACTATTTTAGAACCTTAAAAATAGAGTTTTTTAGAGGTTAAAACCAGCCTCAAAATAGTGTAAAAAGATGGCCAATCACTTAACCAAAACAAAGCTTAAAAGGGACAAGTCCTTACCCTTGAAGCACAGCAGCAAAACAGGTATAATTCTGAGCTAAAACCAAGCTTTAGACCTCAAATAGGACCTCCAAGGACCTCAGCTCCAAGATGAAGGTATTTGACTAGAGGTCTTAGTGCAAATGTGTAGAAAAAATTTACTTTCAAGTACAAAATAGGAAGAGAGAGAGGATTCTAGAGAGAGAGGGTGAAATTTTGCTCACAAAATTTTGTAAAGAGAGAGGGATTTTAGAGAGAGAGGCTCCCAAACTTGCTAACCTTGCAAAATGAGAGATATGGCCTCTATATATAGAAATATATGAGCTTTGGTCGAAATATCTGATTACAGGATAGCTGGAGGTTGTGTAGAACAGCTGGAGGGAAAAGATCTACAAAATATCTGAGTTTGGGACATTAGTGGCCGGCCGGCCACTTTAGTACCTGACAACCCACTTTTCAGGCCGGTCATCCACTTGTGGTGGTCGGTCATCCAATGATGGTGGCCGGCCGGCCACCAAAAATCTGCTCTCCAGGTCCAACTTCAAACGGGCATAACTCCTTCATCTGGACTCCTTTTCAGGTCATTCTTGTGTCCAAATTGAAGCCCCGGAAGTAAGCTTTTCAGTGGTGGCAGCCTCACATCAAAATTTTAAGTGTGAAAAAAGGTATGCCTCTTTTAGTGAAGGTTGCTTATTTCCAGCTCAATCGGATTGATGCCCAACTTTAACCGACTATATCTCTCTCATCCGAACTCGGCTTTAGGAGATTCTTGAGTGTAAAATGAAGCCCCGGAAGTCCTTTTTCCAACGGTGGTGGCCTCATAGCTGAAATCCAAGTGTACAAAAGGGTAGGCCTGATTTAGCGAGGGCCGCTCGACTCTCTTTTAACGATTCAAGCCCAACTTCTTCCCTAACTTGGTTTCTTCCCTCTCCTCCAATTTTCTTCAACTCCAAACCTCTAAACAAGATGTTTTAAAAAAAATTCCAAAGAGATCACCTCTCTTTCATTCATTTCCACTTTGTCCTTGCTCGGTTTACCGAAAAAGCATCATTTAACAAAATGTGAGCCTAGGAACATCGTAGAAGCTTTTTCCAAAAATATTTTGAAAGAGAGGGTCTGAAAAAAGTTTTGGTCAAAATGGTTTTGGTCCAAAAATGGGGTGTGAGGTTTGGATTTGACGCTCCTCTTACCGAATAAATCGAACCTTTGCACTGCACAACTTTCATCACCAAATAAGCAATTAGTGGCGCCAAAGTCTTAAGGGTAGTCAAAAATGGGGTGTCTACACCACCGATACCCCTGTGAGATAGCTCAGTAGGCCAGAGATCTCCCCCTTTGGTGGTTTACGCAATTGCCCTCGTGAATTTTGAACAAGAATGCCTCAACCTTACTAGGATGGACACACTTCAAGTACGGTCCTGTGAAGGACTTTTTGTACAGTGCTAGCGATGGGAATAGCCAAAATCGCTGTGACTTCGCCCTAATCTTGTTGGCTTCCTTCTTGTCCTCTAGCAAAATGCCATCTTTTAAAAATAGCATGATGGGGTCCATCCATAAAAGACCTAGCTCGGCGCAGCATACCTTGGCCACTTCAGGTTTCTCAATGATCGATCTTGGCAAGAAGTCAACTAGCAAAGGGTGTGGGATATATGTATCTGTCATCGACGTAAAACTAGCCGTTCATCTACCTTACTTTTTTTTTTCTCAGCCGATTTGCTCTATCCTCACGACTTCAAACTTCATGAGCTTCTTTCTGATCAACTCTCGATACTTGGCCATTATATCATCATTTGCTTCATAGTCGCCTGATACTTGGTTGACTACTAGTTAGGAGTCGTTGTACATCATCAGCTTGGTGGCCTTTATTTAGCAGGTTGACTTTAAACCGGCTAACAATGCTTCGTACTCTACCTCATTATTAGATGCTGGAAAATTGAGGTTGATAGCCTGTTCAATAGTCAAGCCATTTGGTGAGATGAGGACTATCCCAAGTCTTGCCCCGTGCCTGTTGGACGCTCCATCCATAAAGAGCTTCAACATCTATCCTACGAATAGCTTCAAACAAGTGGAGGGATCTGAGAACGCTTTAGGTCAGGAATGTTGACGACATCTTCTTCTTTGTTTTTGTCCGTCGTTAGGATTTGATACTCACTGCTCGACTACCTTGGCATTTCACATTTAGGCGCGTCCTTACTTGTATTTGTACGGCTTGCTCCTTCCCCCCAGCAATAGGCTGTTGGCACTAGTGGATGACGCAGCCACTGTAACGCTAAATGGTTTGCTACGCAGTTGAGCGACTTGTTGTGGGGGCTACTTTATTCTTGCTGCGCTTTCCCCGCTTTGCTCGGTTGCCTCTGTCAAGTCGATTGGGCAAACATAATGACTTCCTAGAGCAAACTCGACTCCGAAGTCTGACAATGCTTGGGCCTTTATTGTGGTTCTCGACTGAAACTTGAAGTCGAACTGTCCTAACTATGCGGTCCACTTCAATATTCACCCAAAAAAGTCCACCCTTTCAAACAAGGCTTTTAAGGGGAAGGTTGTAAAGACGATCACGGTGTAGGCATGGAAGTAGTGCGACAATTTTCTTGAAGCCATCATCAAAGCTAAGGCCATTTTTTCTAATGGCAAGTACCTCGTTTCGGCGCTCGGCAATATCTTGCTTACATAAAAGATAGGCAAGTGTTGTACTCCTTCGGGGCATACTAACACTATGCTAACTGCATGCTGGGAAACTGCCAATTATAAAAAAAGTTCCTCTCTTGGTACTGGGGTTGCCAACAGCAGCAGAGAGGTCATGTATTCTTTCAAGCTTTTCAAAGCTTGGTCGCATGCGTCATCCCACTCAAACTTGGCCTTAAGTGCCTGGAAGAACGGTCAACACCTGTTTGATGACTGACTTATGAATCGGTTTAGCGCGACAACTAGGCCCATGAGATGCTGTAATTCCTTGACTGTGTTTGGCCTCTCTAAATCTTGAATGGCTTTGATTTGAGAGGGATCGGCATCTATACCTCGGATGGTTACTAGAAAGCCAAGAAATTTTCTTGACCCCACGCCAAACGCACATTTGGATGCGTTCAGTCGCAGCTTTTGAATCTTCAAAATTTGAAACATCTCAACTAGGTCATTGAGATGGCCTCCTTCATTCTTACTTTTGACCACCATATCGTCTATGTAAGCTTCCATTGTTTAGCCTAACAAGGGCTCGAACATTTTGGTGACCATTCGCTGGAACGTTGCCCCTGCATTTTTTAGGCCAAAGGACATGACCTTGTAGCAATACAATCCCCTAGGTGTTGTAAAGGATATGACTTCCTAGTTCGGATCATACATAGCAATTTGATGGTATCCACGATACGCATTAAGAAAGCTAAGTCAGTTATGACCTGCAGTTAGGTCCACCAGTTGGTCTATTCGCAGTAGAGGAAAACTATCTTTTGGGCATGCTGTATTAACTGTCTTGTAATCCACACAAACGCGCCACTTGTCGTTCTTCTTTGGCACTACCACAGTGTTGGAGATCCACTTGGGAGAGTGAACCTCTCTGATTGCCCTTGTCTCCCGTAGGTTTCCTACCTCCTCAGCCACTATCTTGGCGTGGTGAAGTGCCGATTTTGGAGTTCACTGTATAATTGGTCTGGCAGTCGGGTGCACATTAAGTTGATGGCAGATGAAAATTGGATCAATGCCAGGCATGTTATACGGTGTCTAGGCAAACACTTCGATGTTAGAGATCAAGAATTCTATGATCTCTATTCTCTCGGTGCTGGACAAAGATGAGCCTAGCAAAAGAACTTCTCTGGGACCTTTTCGTCTATTCTTACCTCCAACAGATCTTCTACTGCCTTATGTTCAGCTACCTTGTCGACATCCGCAAATAACTCAATGCTTTCTAGCTCCTCTACCATCTGTATGAACCCTTTGGCAGCTCGGCTACCATTTATAGTCACGAAGCACTGCTTGGACAGGATTTGGTATCCCAAAATCTCTTCAATCACTCCAGCTTTGTTAGCGAATCGCATCACCTAATGGTAGGTTGATATTATTGCTCACATGGCATGCAACCATGCTCTCTCCAAAATAATGTTGTAAATGGAAGAGACTTTCAACACCCAGAATTCCACTTGCTTTATCATTGTCTCAGCTTTGACTAGCACAATTATCTTGTCAACCAATCATTCTGGCATTGAGTTGAAAACGACCAAGAAAGATGTCGCCGGTGCTAAATCTTTGTCCTCCAATTTGAGTTGCTTGAAAGTCTCATAGTACGTTATCTCGCACGAGCTCCCTTGGTCTATCAAGGTCCACTTGATGTCAAAATTCTTTACACGCAGAGTAACCACTAGCATGTTGTTATAAGGGCTTTGCAACCTTGCCAAGTCCCTATCAGAGAAGATAATGACGTTTTTCGCTTCCGTCTTTCCTTTTTTAACAGTAGGTTGTACACTTAGTACTTCCCTCATGTACTCTGCCTTCTTGATCATCCCTCTAAGCTCGTAGACTCGCTCTGGCTCAAGATCCCATGTATCACGTCGATTACTCCTTGAGGTGAACCTTCGATTGGCATCCCATCTGGCCCATTGTGGTTCTAGGGGACTGGTCGAGCTCCCCCTTCAATGTATTGGTCCAAGTGGGCCGCAGCCACTAACTCTTCTAGATGTTGCCTCAGTGACGTGCAATTTTCAATTTGGTGCCCCACTTCATCATGGAAGGTGCACCGATATCTATCATCGTAGCCCCTTTGCACTTCTCCCAACTTGGTGCCTCACGTATCTTGCTAATAATCCGGTGTAGACGCGCCCGCGGGCCTCATGCTACAGTTCGGACTCGATTTGTGTCACGGTTCTTAATCTGAACCAAAGAGTCCAAATCTGGCAAATCGTTTTGAGAAACAGATTTTTGAAAAAGTAGTGCCAAACATGGACTGCTTTGCCAGATACAGAGTCGCCACCTAAATATTTTAAAATGGGGGAATTTAGGAAACCCTGACTCGATGCCGAAGGCCACATGTCCGTCATCACCAGAGTTGTCTCGGCTCGGGAGCTTGGGTACGATCGGGGAAGGTCAGCTATGAGCACCCCCTTTCGCCCGGTCCGAAGACCGGCCTCTACTAACCGTGATATCCGTTTTTGAAAACTTTACGTGTTCTAAAACCAATTATTAGCCTAGAATTACTACGTTATGCGCGCAGCAAACAAGTATAGACCAAAGCAAACCGAGGCAATGGCAGAACGCGATGAAATGAGGTGCCTCGAAATGCGTGCACACGGACACGCAAACCGAGACAATGGTAAAATGCTATGCAAATGAGGTGCCTCGAAATGCGTGCACACGGGCACGCAAACCGAGGCAATGACAGAATACGATGAAATGAGGTGCCTCGAAATGCGTGCACACGAGCACGCAAACCGAGGCAATGGTAAAATGCTATGCAAATGACATGAAAACATGATATGGGCTTATACCAACATGAGTGAGCCTCAGCCACACTCACATAGGATGCCGGCGGATAAAAATGAAGTGCCTCGAAATGCGTGCACACGGGCACGCAAACCGAGGCAATGCAAAAATGCTATGAAATGGCATGGAAATGACAAATGGGCTTATACCAACATGAGTGAGCCTCAGCCACACTCACATAGGATGCCGGCGGATAAAAAAGGAGTGCCTCGAAATACGTGCACACGGGCACGCAAACCGAGGCGATGCAAAATGCGATGGAATGACATGGAAATGACAAATGGGCTTATACCAACATGAGTGAGCCTCACCCACACTCACATAGGATGCCGGCGGATAAAAATGAAGTGTCTCGAAATACGTGCACACGGGCACGCAAACCGAGGCGATGCAAAAATGCGATGGAATGACATGGAAATGACAAATGGGC